CATGGCTCCTTGTTCCACCCTCCACTCCTCCAAGTTTTCAATATTCCAGAGCTCTAAAGATATGAGTTTCGGAAAACCTCCACCATCACAGCCGCCATAGCCCCCTCCTCCTCCTCCACCGCTGATGCTGGATGGTCCAGAAGAACAAACCATCGCCTTCCCAATGTAGGAATCCTTTAATAAGCAGAGAGTCCTTAAGTTGGGGAACTTCTCCAATGTTGGCATTGGGTCTTCCTCTAGTTCAGTATGCCTCAACCATAACTTGGTGAGATTTGGAGGGAATTGGTCTGCCAATTTCTTAACCGGATTCAGGGACCCCTGTAATTCCAATTTGCGTAGATGGTGGCATCCTAAAAGTTGCCTTAAAAGGCTTTGTTCTTCTTCCGTTCGGAAATCTCCTCTAATGCTGAAGGACGAATATTGGAGAAGGCGGTTTGAATTGTTGAGGATTGGGGATTTCAACATCACGACCAAGTCTTTGGGGGCTACCTCACCACTGAATTTTCGAAGATTTGTCAGTTTAGATAAGCATCTGACATCACACTCCCTTGCATCAAAGTTTTCTAGCGTCTCCAATTTGCTTAAACCATCCAATCGCAACTTACCTATGCAAGACAGCTTGATTCTTCTAGGAAGATATAGATGTCTCAAATTTTTCAACCTCCACAAGACATTGGGTATTCTTAAACTCCCCCGTCCCCTTAAATCTAGGGTTTGGAGGAATCCCAAGTTGCCTATAGAAGAAGGCAAACTTCCAATTTCAGAATGTCTTATACTGAAATACCTCAAGTAAATTAGCTTTCCTATTGCTCTCGGAAACTTCATTCTTCCCCCAGGTAAAATAATTCTTTCCAGGTCTAAAACGGTAAGCAATGTGAGACCCTTCAAGAGTAATTTTAATTTTTGCCAACCAGAACTTTCCAATTCATGGCCAAAAGAGTAAAATTGGCATGATCGGATATGGTTGTGATTCTTCATTTCATGTCCAGATAGGGGAATAACATTTTCACTTTCTATAGAGTTGGCATCACAATCATTCAAATAGTACACAGCAAGTCTACGAACTGTTGTTAATGGTGATGATGAAGAAGGCGGCGCAGAGTCTGCCCACGCGAGCTGATGACCAAAGGCTTTAATGCGAACAATCTCAAGAAAATTCTCCTCTTTGGCCTTCAACAAGCACAAGTCTCTCATGAGATCGTGGAGGCGACAAAATTTGATCCTTTTTCTGAAGCTTGTTAATTCGACTTGAACCATGCATCTCTGGACTAACTCACCCAAGTAACTCATTCCAACATCCAACATTGTTTTCGCTTTTACTTCTACTTGTGTTGGTATCGATGACGGCGACACAATGCCTTCAGCCATCCACATTTGAATCAGTTTTTTTGCACGAATATCATGATCTTCAGGAAGATGGCTCAAATACAAAAAACATGCCTTAAGATGGTAAGGCAAGTCTTGGTAGCTTAAGGCTAAAATTTCTGTTACTGGGACTCCTGCTCGGCCTTTGCCCTTACCTAAGTCATAACTAATGTTTTCATTCACCTCTTTCCAGTCGTTTAGTGTGCATTTTGTTGCCAAAAGTCCTCCTAATACCACAATGGCCAATGGTACACCACCACAATGCTTGACAATTGCCTGCCCTAACTGAATCATTTCTGTGTTTAATGTGAATCCTGCAAAATTAAAGGGGAAAAAAATGCATCTATTGGTAAGTTTGTACTAGTCTATACGGGCGGTATTGATATAAATAAAAAATAGCAATGTGTATTTATATTAAAAACAATAATGCTAAGAATACCAATAAATATACCAACGAATTTATTAACTACAATACAAAAATTATATGTAAGTTTCATCACTTGACGTGAGGTCCACCAACATTGTGTTTAGGCTAAAATTCTTTGTTCCCAAAAGTAGAAAAAAAAAAATTAAAATGATACACAAAAATGCATTGAGTGAAACTATTTAAGAAAATCAAAATGAATATTAATAAATAATTATCTCACTAATTTAATTGGATAACTAATCCCATAAAATTACTAATTATTTCACCATTAATCTTGCTAATTAAGCAGGGCCTTAGTTATTCTTGAATTCTAGCATAACTACATGGCCCAAGGTATATATGGTTTGTTTTGTTCTAGGTAGCAGCCGTAGATATTAGTTAGATCTACCACCTGAATATGATGCACTATTAGTTAGTATACTTAAAGCAATGGGATGGCTAAATTTAATTAATTTACCCCAAAAGGTATATCTACGGCTGGTATCTCTATTTTATGTTCACCTAAGAGGTACTCAAGAAGAAGATGAAAATTTTACTCTTTTGTCATATGTGAAAGGAAAGGGTATACAGTTTCATATTCCTACTTTGGCAAGCATTATTGGAGTTAAGGTAGGTGATGAAAATATCCATTTTCAGAGTGAGGCTGAGTTAGTTAATATTGTTGGTAATGCTACTGATGTATATACTACTATATGTGAGAACAGATTTACTGGGACTAGTCTACAAGCAAGACATTTAAAACCTTATCTTCGGATTCTCCACCGATGGATTGTAGAAAATGTCACTCCGAAAAAAGGACATCATGATGCGGTCTCATATTTTAATGTCTATTTGTTATACTGTTTTGAAGTTGGCCATACGTTAGATTTGTGTTACATAATTATGAAAGAAATAATGTTCGCAAATCAAGCTCAATTCACAAGCCGGTCATTACTGTTTGGGGCACTCTTGACAAAAAATTTCAAACATTTTAGGGTTCACCTTGTAAATGAAATGGAGATCAAAATCTGTTCACCTATTAATCAGTATACAGTGACCCGTGTTGGTGCAGCCTTCAATTTAATGGGAAATGTTAATGCTCCAAAAGATTCAGAAGATGAAGTCCCACCAGATGATGCTCCAGAAGATCCTCCTGCCAATGTGATGCCATCAACTGAACAACCTCAATATTGGACTGAGTTTTTGGCCATGGAAGAACAATGTTATAATCAACGCGTTCAATGGGAACATTAATGGCTAATTAGGTCAATTCGTAGGGTACTCAGTTTGATACATTTGTCACTGCGCAGAACTCATTAATTCAACAATTTGGTGACTTCCGTTTGGACATTGAAAGACGTCATGACGTGGCAAACAATCGCATAGATAAGATTAAGCATCGCGTAAATGACATATACCATCACTACTTCCCTCCTCCACCACCACCAGATAATGATTGTTGATGTGTGTCACGTTATGTATTTCCATTGTTTAGTATTTTGTTATTTTAACAACCTTTTGTTGGGTCAATTTCTTTTATAAATGTAGTGGTTTTGTCATATTATTTGATATAAAATTCTCTGTTAATTTTTCACTTACATTGCCTTGGTAATACATGTGCACCATCTTTTGGAGCTTCAGTGATGCCATGTTAGTTGAATTTTATTAATGTTTCTGATTACTTCAAATTTTATGAAAATTTCTGAAAGGTCTAATGGTAACCAAAGAAAAGAAGAAATGATGTATTATATATTATGTATTATGTATTATGTATGAAGTTGTTTTCAGTTATACCTTGATTGTAATTGTATCATTTGGCTTCATTTTGTCATAGTGATGTGAAGATATTGACAACAAACAGGAGCATGGAGGATGCATTTGTATGGTTTTTTGATTATATTCTGCTCAACCCAGCTCAGATATGCTTTGGAAATTCCTATCAATGACATGAAAATAGTCTTCAGATAAATCATTGCTGTCTTGTTTCATCAAGCACTATTGTTTCTGTTCTGTCATGAAATTCGTTTCCGATGAATGATTTCTAACATAAGAAAAGTAATGGCCATTACTGGCAACAATTACTTCAACATTTGTTTGGCATTATAACATAAAAAAATTTGATTTCCGAGGAATGTTTACTTGGTGCTTTCAATAAATAAAAAATTATAACATACATTAATAAATTTATTTTTATCTGTTAATTATCTAACAAATATAAATCATTATGTTCCATTTAATAAAATTGTTATTACATGATTACTTATCACATTAATAATTCCAATACAACTAATACAAGTTAGATGTAATATTTTTAACCAATACAAGTTAGATGTAATATTTTTAAATAATGAAACCAATAGATGAAACCCCGTAATACAGAACCTTTCAAGGCAATTTATTAGTTGTTTGAAATAAAATTTGTCGTTGAAGATCTTCGTAGTACGCCCTTTGCATAAGATTTAAAATTGTCATGTCCATTGACATTATTTTATGATCTTCATTTCGTTGTTCTCTTTCATTCATCATAGATAGGAGTTTTAGTTGTTCCTCCCTATCTTCGACCCTTATTCTACGCTCTGCAGCTTTCTGCTCACAATCGATCGCCTCTTGTTCATCTCGCTCAATAGTTCTAGCGGAGATAGTTAATAACACTTCAACAATTTTGGATTGGTTGGCAGCCATTTCATCAAATCTACTATCGTGCGTTGTTTGATTCTTCAACTTCTCTTTCGCTGCCGTAGTACCAATTGGTTGTGTTGATGTATTAGATGGTTGTTTGTGCACAGCATTATTCTGGTTGGATTGAAATGCCTCAGATTCTTCAGTTAGTGGATTCGAACATGGATAAGCATGTTGCGTGCTTCTTTTGGGTTGTGTTCGAAATTCATCCCACTTACAACTTTGGCGCAAAATATCCCAACATGTATCAAATGTGAAGTGTTTTTTCTGTATTGCATAACACATCCGCTTCATTTCAGCGACCTACAAAAAAAATTACAAAAATTTCAATAACAAGTATACATTTAGAAAAGAAATTTGATATTTAATAACACAAATAAATTTTACCATGTTTGTCTCAGTTGTTCCACTTTGTTGCCTCAGTTGAATTTGTTCAAGAAAACCACAGAATTTATTAATTGCTTTTTGCATGCCAGACCAACGGTGAGACAAAGAAATACGGTTCCGATTTGATTCACTGCTCAATTGTGAATTAAAATAAACAAGTACTTGTTCCCAAAATATAGTCATAGTCTGACTATTACCAGCAATGAGATCTTGAGAGACTGCTAACCAAGGTCAACATAAAGTTTCATCTTCTATAATTGTGAACGCTTTACCACGAGAAACACGAGAAGTTTCTGAAATAAAATGATTATCAGTATTCTGCGTATTCTGCTCTCGTGAAGTTTCCGACATAAAACTAATATTAGTGTTGTGCTTTAACATTTGTGATTCCTCAAACATTTCAAAATCTTTCATAGTTTGAAACAAATTTAGTAGATACAGTATCTAACTTACTGAAAAATATTAGAATGATATGCACTCAACCTCAGAATTAGATAATATAAATGAAAGTGCACTGATGAGAAAAAAATTTATAATGACACAGAACAAACAAAATTTACAACATATAATGTAATGCTATTTTGAAAATGAAATACTTTGCCAACCCAATTGAAATGCACAACTTGATATTACGAAACAGATATATTTTATAGAGCACATCAGCAATGGTAAATTTTCAAAATACTCTGTCCATCCAACGGTAAATTATTGGAACAGCTAGTTCTGAAATATGTATATGAGATGTAATATTTTCAATTATATTTTCATGAAAATTTAAATTTATATCACCCTTCAAATTATTCATAGTTCACAGAACCTATCTCAAAATAAACCGGTTTGACCAATTCGCACCTGTTAAGAACAAAACAAAGTAGATTTGATGACCCGGTCGACCGGTTGGTCTCCTCCTCCAACGGTCACGCACAGTAAAGAAATGAAATCCGTATCCTGTTCTCAGTTTGATGATTTTTTTGCTCAATTCTCATTTTGATACCAATTTGGTGAAATCGTTGGAGCTCCAAAAAGTGTCTTTTTCACCAAATTTTAAATCTGATGCCAGGTTTCCTGAACCGTTGGAGATGGTCTAAAATAGTCAAAAAAGTCAAAAAGTTAAAAAATTAACCCACTTCCTAAACGACACCATAAGGAGAATAATGTTTCGCTAAACTAATTTAGGCATTCACTTAATAATAATATACATAAACACACCCATTATATAGGAGTCTTTTGAGAAGCTAGTAAAACGCCAGCTTCTAACTTTTTACTTATTTTGAATTACATCATCTCTCACATAACTTACTCACAAAAAGATAAAATAAATTAAAAATTTCAAAAAGTTAACTTTTTACTAACTTTCAAAAACACTCTTATAGTACATTTGTGGCCTTGTGGGAAGTAAATAAAAAGTCAACTTTTAATTTTTAACCGATTTTGAATCTCATCACTTTTACTCACAAAAATCAATCAAATAAAAAAAAAATCTTACCCACAAAAAAGTCAAAAAAATCACTTTTAACCAATTTTCCAAAACACCTCATGTATCAAGAGAGAAGAGCTGAACAAATCTGTTGATTTATATATATACATATATATATATATCAAGAGAGCAGCGAATGGAGCTGCGATCCGGACCCTAAGATCCAACTTCGAGCCTCCTTCAAGTCTGGACTCATCGCCCTCGACGGCGGCCATGTAGACGATTGGAACAATATTGATGGATTCCATTTCTCTCCTCTTACCCGCTTTGGATGTAGATTCCGTCAAACTATACAGCAGTGGAAAGTTTACCGTTAAGGTTTGTTTGAATCCATCGTCTCTGTTCTTTCCAATTCTCTCTCTTTCTTTTTGGCTGAGAATGTTTTTCAAAGAAATATGAGTAAAATGTTCCCCCTAAGAAATGTGGAAAGTAGCATGATGTTCACTTGATTATGAGATCAGTATGTTAATGCCCTGTTTGGTTAATGAGAAAAGCAATAGACAAGAGGAATGGAAAAGTTAGAATAAGAGAAAAACTAAAAGATTTATAATGTTAAATCTTATATTTCTTGGCTACTATACAGAGCATTGTGAAATTTCTTTTTTGTTTTGTTTTGTTTTTTTTTTTGGA